ACATTAATTTTACATGGCTTTCTAAACATGCCGCTCTCTTGTGCCAGACGCGAGTGCAACGCTGAAAGATGTCCCTCTAGAAAATGTGATAAATATGCGTTCTGTGTGAACGGCTTGGTTTCAGTTTTGACGTAAACATCTTCTCCACACTGATGCTCTTGTTTTCCGCAATATATTGAATGAACAATGTAGCACCGCCGCATCTAGTAGATTCAACTGGATAGGCTAACAAAAGCATTAAAATGCAATGACGCTTACATCGTCGTCGCATTTCGTGCGCCACTGATAAGGCTGCCTGACGAAGACCTAAAATTCAAATGCGGATTTTTTTTTTTTTTTTTTTGACGAATTTTTTAAATTAAAATTTGTTTTTTTGACAGCTCTGGTAGGATGTCCTCTACAGCAGAGAGTCAGGAGTTACCTGTTATACAGGCCTACAAACATCTGTGTGCAGTCGGGAGCATTTAGTACAGACACAGTTAACTCCCTCCTGAGATGAGAAAATCAGTCCTACTGTTCTTGCAATCACAAAGGCAAGATTAATCTGCCTTGAATACATAAACCAGAGTAATCTGAAATTAAATAGATCAAACACAGAGCTGATGTCTATTAGTGCTGTGCTCAGAATATCGATACAGCGATACATCGTCATGAACTTGATGCGTGGACTTCACAAGCAACCCAGTCGTATGTTACGATAGCCTGCCACCACATAATGCCACAATGGGAACTTGTCTCGAACGTTCTGCAGACCAGAGCAATGTTTGACAATCACACAGGAGCGAACATGGCAGATTTGCTCAATGATGTGATGCACGAATGGGGAATAAAGGACAAAGATCCAGTGCTAGTCATCATTTATGCATCTAATATGTCAGTAGCTGCAGAAATAGTCAAATTAATTCATGTGAGATGCTTTGCGCACTGTTTGAACCTGGCTGCTCAACGGGCTCTGAAGTTACCGACAGTTTCCCGTCTTCTCGGAAGAGTTCGGAACATCACAACATTTTTTAGGAAAAGTACAATCGCCTGCCATGTCCTGCACGAGAAGCAAAAGTTACTTGGCCTTCCTGAGCATAAGCTGATGACCGATGTCTGCACGAGGTGGAACAGCGCACATGACATGTTGGAGCGATTCGTAGAACAACAGCCTGCAATTTGTGTTGTTTGTTATTACAAAATTTCAGTTATCAAAACTGTTATAACACTGGCTATTCAATGTACAATAAACAAATATTACCTTTACGAAATTCTGCTCAAAATAAATGTAATTGCAAAATTGACCTGTATCGTGATACGTATCGTGGCTTTAGTATCGTGATACGTATCGTATCGTGACATTGCTGGTGATACACAGCCCTAATGTCTATGCGGGACGTCTCAACACCCATTGACGAGAAACCCCTTACAAACCTAAGGGACCCACTTTATATTAAGTGGCCTTAACAACTATGTACTTACATTTAACTTAATAATTTGGTACAATGCACTTATTGTGTACATACATGTTTTTACATTGTACTTATATTTAAAAAATACCTGCATGTAATTACATCTGTAATTAATTTCTGTAATTACATTTATAATTACACAGTTGACCCATCCCTTACACCTTAACCCACCCTTAAACCTACCCATACCACCAAACCTGTCCCTAACCCTACCCGTATCCCACCTTAATAGCAGCAAAAGTGTTTTGCAATACAATATGAACACAATAAGTACACTGTACTTAATTTTTGATGCAAGTACATAGTAGTTAAGGCCACTTAATATAAAGTGGGGCCAACCTAAGTTACCATGAACCAAAATTTCCACCAAAATACTTGCTAAACTAAAGTTTGAGTAGCAACAATAAAACTGTGGTAACTTCATATTTATGGCAGTGATATGGCAAAAGAAAATAAATGACAGTGACAAAGACACTGGTTGACAGGAAGACTTCTGTATCTTTAAATATACAACGTGAGATTTGAACTGCTTAAAAAAAAAAATAATAATTTTGATTTAGACAAAAATTGAACAGTTAGTTATTTTTCTTCTCTGCCAATAAAAATAGTGCAGAAAGAAGCCAAAGCCTTATTTGCTTATTATCAAGCAACACAGATCAAAGTCAGGTGTAGTGCCGAAATTTGCACCCTGCCAGATTATGCACCCCCTAGTATTGGTAGGTTTAGTAGGGGTGGGGGAGGGGTTAGGATTAGGGGTGGGGTTGGGATTAGGCAATCCACTCTTAGAACACCAAACAGATAATAAAAAAAAAACCGGTCTTAATTGTAGTTAGTAGCCTATACAAATCCTAAACAGAAGATGACTTCATCTTCATTTAGCATATAACGTTAAGTACAGATAGCTTAACACAAATGCCTCCAGACCAAATGCTCTAGGTCTTGAAGACCTTAAACCGAAAGTAAAGCCTCTCCAGCATTGTCTGGGCCAAACATATTTAACGTTACTGTCGAGGAGTACAAGTAGAAACGGCTACAAGCACAATTCTGATGTAACGTTATACACCAAAGTAATTAGTGCATTGAGCTTCGCTAGTCACTAGTAATGCGACTAACGTTACCTGGCCTTTCGCAGAGAGATTAAATGCAAGCAACGAACAAAATAATCAGAGACACAAATCTCCTGATGCTGCTAAATTTAACTAGGGTTGGAAACTATTAAATGTAGGTCCACGAGACATCTTTGTTGGTTTAAAAATCCATTTCAGACTCATTACAAACACAGGAAGTGGTTGTTGCTTAGAGCATGTTAATATATTATTTACACTGAGACGCAATAGTAAACGTGCCACAATCTAGCGTGTTTATATCGCATTTCCCGTTTTATAACTTCGGCTTGTTGAATGAGCACATCGACTGGATGTTTGCATTTGAAAAGCTTGGGAAACCGCGAGTGTGTGCATGTGAATACACAACAAAGAAAAAACGCCAGACAAATGTGGTAAACCGTAATTATTTCAGACCGTACCTGCAACTGATACATACCGGAAAATAAACCATAGGCGAAGGAGTGGAGCGAGTATGTTCCTTTCAGTCAGTATTCCCGTGCAAATCCATGACTAGTCTATATCTCCTCTTTATGTCTTTTTAGCATAGGCTTGTATTGGGTGAAATGATGGCTGCTAACAGCGATAGAAACATCTCTCCAGTCACGTGGTCAAATAGCTTCCAGCTGCT